GTACTCGCATATCTACGTGAGTTGATTTTTGACCGCGTATGCCAGTGCATGCAAGACGACGAGCAACTGAGTTTGAGTTTAACAGGTATGGCAATGAGCGTACTGTAGTAATCCGACCAGGTGTTCATAGGGTGTCACCCGTCACCTAAAGTGTTCATTTTCGCGAGTGTTCATTTCTCGGCAATCACCATCAATTCCCATATATGGACTCCCGGGGACTGCCGAAACGCAATTTTTAGACGTATTTGGGCCAGAAGATTCCCCATAACCCACCCATGCTCCAAGTGTTCCGTTCACAGGTCGCCGTCACCCGTCACCTGAACACTTGGTCGGATTACTACAGTACATAGCATATTGCGGCTTTGTACACACGACGGGTCTCCGACATAGCTTGGCAGCTGATTCAACAAGATACAAAAACAATTCAAAGTATACGCTATTGACAGCCTTCACCGCCTGCTGGTACGTCGCGACTTGTAGCAACACGCGGTGAAGGCTGTTATACGCGAGGAATGGAGACGTATGTACTATAGACGCATGTGTTCACTATGTGTCACTTGCAAATCGTTTCGTGCTGTGCGAGGGGCCTCACTATCGCGCCGAACACGAACAGAGTGGATGGACTTACCGGATGAAAGCCTGCGACGACTTGATGTTCCATCGACGAAACGATTCTGCGGACGACAAAAGAAATCAGTGCGAGGATCGGTGGGAGAGAACATGAAGCAGACACAGGGCGATTAAGCGAGACGAAGCACGAGCTCTACAAGACGCACGCCGCCATGCCATGGGCTCAGTATCTTCCCAGTGCGCTTCGACCCGCGCAGCCGCGACCACGCGTCCAGCTGTCTGACGTGGCCAACACCTCGGGGGGGAGATGTGCGAGGTCGCGGAGCGGCCAGGCGGCGGTTTACAATCATGTCGACTAATCGAGCGATTCGAGCGCTTCTCGCGCGCTGTGAGTGGTCACGTTGTTCCCGCCCCGGAACACATGCATAGAGGAAAATGGACGGACAAGCAAAAAACTGTGAAACACCATTTTCGGAATACGATCAGTCCAAATGAAAAACGCTCAGCGAACGAGCCAAGTTCAACACCATCGGGGCATAGGTTTTTTTCTACTCCTAGCCGTTTCGCGCGACAGCCAAAGCGGACAGACAATAATATGCAAGACACATACGAGCGGACGGGCCCAGTTCGACGATCGCCGCAGCGAGCGGAACAACAAACTTGTCCTCTACAGCAAAAAGGAATTGGCCTACAAACACGAGCGGGGAGGGCCTGAGAAAGAAACGACGGCACCGAGCGGCGAATGGAACTGGCATGGTGGGTCGGGAGCGCAGTACAGGGCTAGTACGAGCGGAACCGACGCAAAGGACGAGCGGAAGCGGATCCAAACGCTCTAAATCCGCCTCTAAAAACTCCAATTAAAGTTCAAATCCGCAATAAATTCCAGCAAGGCAATAAAGTTCGGCAAGGTAAGGTAAGGTAAGATAGGTATTATGCCACGCATTAGAAACTAGGGTACGGTAACCGACACGTCTACAGGAATTATAACTGGTGCTGTACAGTAAGTAAGTTCCAAGGTACAGGCGAGAGAAAGAAGGGAGGGCGGCAAGAATTACAAGAAGGACAAGATGAGTGCTGTGAGCGAGCGAGTGAACGAGCGAGTAAGACTCAGTAAGTGAGCATAAGTAGCGGATAAGTAGTAACGGGAGCGACAGCGAGTAGGTGCATTCGTCGTCAGAACGAACGCAGCAGCAGCAGCAGTGCGGGATGCGCGAGGAGCAGCGTGGGATGATGGTATGAGCGAGGGACTGGGTGTGCGACGGCGGGACTACGAAGGCTAATGCGAGGGTGAAGAGGGTGGAGGCATCGAAGCAGGCGGTCAGGCTACAAAACCCCACTGCTCCGCGGGGTGTAATACGCCGACTCCCCCGCACCCGCACCCGTCGCGCGCTCGGTCTGTGCGCGCCTAAGGGTGCGCGTCAAAGGGAAGGGCGATCCCGAGCGAGCCGGGCGAAGCGCGTGAGGGGAAGCGAGGGAGCGGCTGCGGGATAGACGTGTCGGGGATGGCGAGACTGAAGGGGGCGTGGAGGGAGGGGAGGTGGATGTGGCGAGTGAGGCGTTGGATGGCGAGGGGCAGACGGAACCGCTGCCGGAAGTGTTAGGCGTCCCAGCTAAATCGAGCGTCCAATCGCCCTCCCGCTCCTCCCTCTCCTCGCCCCCGTCCTTTGATCGACGCTCGCGGAGGGCAGCGCGGCGGGGCGTAATAGGGCGCCCGATCCGCCTCCCACCCCGCCGCCCGGCCTTCCTCTTCCGCATCTCACGCGGCGAAGCGGAGGGCAACGCGTCATAGGACTGGTGCACGACGCGCACAATGCCCTTGGCGAACGGATCGGCGTCCTCCGGCAGTCTATCCTCCGCAGCGGGGCCGTCGATGGTGAGCACGCTCCACGGGCGGTGCGGCCCTGCGGGGATGTAGAAGTGGTTATCGGTGGAGAAGGAGGGGGAGGCAGAGCATTCAGACGAGAAGGAGGACGCAGTGGGCGAGGGCGGAGCGTGCGAACTCTCACTCGCGGTTGCGCTCCCCGACCCCGACTCGGACTCGGTGCATCCGGACGGCGTAGAGCCAGAAGTAGGGCGCGAGGAGGAGGGGGTGGCGTACGGCGCGAGGCGCTCATACTGCGCGACGAGGGGGAGGTACGGCGTGAAGGGCTCCCCGGCATCCGCATCTCCGGCGGCAGGAAACGAAGCAAGAGGCAAGGGAGGCGGCTTCGAGCGTCGGACGCGGGGGCGCAAGCCCACGAACGCCTTGAGCTTCGCGAGAAGGCGCAGCACGCGAGACTCGGTCCTGCTCCCCCCGCTCGTCCGGCTGAGATTCAGGCTGAGATTGAGGGTCTGCGCGGACCGCTTGCGCTCGAGCGTCGTTGTGAAAAGAGCGGTGCTGCTGAAGGGCAGGTCGGGTGGGTCCAGAGCCGCAGATACGATGTCTCCGAATTCAACGAGCGAGAAGGGCGGTAGGCGCGAGGACGAGCTCGAGGGAGAGTCCATTCCGAGTCAGCAAAAAGCGACAGAAAAACGGGAGAAAGAAGTAAAGCAAGGAGCGGGGAGAGCACAAGGCGAAAAACCGAGCCAGCGAGACCCCGCAATGAATTTATAAGACGCCATCAACTTGCAACGTGATGGGCATGGAAGAAGAGAAGGAAGAGAAAAAAATGGACGCGTTGTTTGCGCGAGCTTTGACGTGTTACGCGTCCTTCTCCTTCTCTTCGACGTTCACAGGGAGGCAGGCTTCTTCAATTTGGCTGATTTGGGGTTGATGAAAAAACGTGCAACGGCTCGAGGATGTCTGTCCAGGCGATGGACTGGACGGTGGCGGTCGAGTGCAAGTCAACCGGCGGAAGACACATCCCCCTCCACCGCGACTGGGCTTCTTTGCAGCAGTCCTAGGCCTGTTCGACAAGCTCTCCTCTGGCTCACCCTCCAGAACTCTTCAGAGCTCGCCCTATCCGCCTCGGACTCTGCCCGGTGGCGGATTTTCATCAACACTGACGACATCTAATGAAAAAAGCTGTCGCTCGTTTTACGTACCCCTCGGTCCCGACCACTTTGCCCTCAAGCATCGCATAGCCAAGGACAGAATACTCTGGCTGTCCACTGAAATTCGCGACTGAACTCGCGACTGAACGAGGCCTCTTGCAGCGGCTCTCGTCAGACGTCGGGGCAAGCCGCCTCCGACCCCGAGACCCCGATTCCGCCGGCCACCTCGGCTTCCACTCCTTCCTGAACACGCTTCGCGAATTAGCCCAGAAGACTACGTCGCGACCGTGACCGCCCCGAGCGCCGGTTTCCGGGTCCGCGCCTGCCCAATCCGTCTCAATATGTGGAGGGAGGGTAAGCCGGTAGCCAAATCCGGCCGCTCCAACGCTGCTAATGGACGTTAATTAGGACGTAAGTAATTGCACCGGCGTCCAATCGGGGCGAGTGAGCTGAGCTCCGAGAGCTCGGAGCCCCGAGCTCATACGGGGAGGCGAGAGCTCCGATTCGGGAGGAGGAGGCGAGATCGGGAGGCCTAGTGGGGGACAGAGACAGATTCTAGCGGTTAAACGCAGCCTAGACCTTTCAACGTCGCCTTTCAGCGCACAGTAGCAGACGTCTACTTGTCTTGTCGGACGCAGGCAGGCGAGAGGATTTCTTCTCGCTCGAGGACAATCAATCTTTTCTCGCGGGTCGCTTCCTGTCAACTTCAGCTGATGGCTTTCAATTCGGCGAGCTTACATATACTGAACCGGAGTATGGGGTGAAGGAAGCAAACGTAGTGCACGGCGCACCGCTGCATTCCATGCGCCATGAATAGAGAATGAAAGCAGTTGATCGAGGTTCGACTCCCCGCGTCCGCCTGCCCTCAGTTTTTCTTTTATCCGACTGCCTCAAACGCCTCTACATTTGGAGGGAAAGGATGGGAGAAATAAGCGGACGTAGTGCATGGCGCACGACTGCATCCTGTGATTATGTTCTGTGCTGCAAGCAGTTGATCGGGGCTCCACTCCCCGCGGCCGCCTATGTCGGGCCATCAATTTTTTACTCAAAGGTCCCTCAAAGCCCGGATACAGAGAGGGCAAGCATTGGTCAAGGAAAGCGGACGTGGTGTACGGCGCACAACTGCGTTCTATGAGATGTCGCCAAGAAAATTGAAGCAGTTACTGGGGTTCGACTCCCCGCACCCGCATAACTCCTCTCACTGTATTTTTTTATTGGCGGATAAGTCAAGGGATAAGTAAATAGAAAGGCCTGGGTAAGAAGAGTGCAGGAGGGGTAAAGGAAAGCGGACGTAATGCAGGGTGCACCACTGCGAATATTCTGTGAAATGATGCAAAGAGGTTAAAGCAACTGAGCGGGGTTCGACTCCCCCGTCCGCCTTAAATCGTCGACAACGGGTTTTTTCTCACAGTGCATCAAACATTTGGATTTAGCGAGCGCAGGGATAAAGAGAGGAAGCGGACGTGGTGCACGGTGCACTACTACATTCGGTGACCATCCGCTGCAACTTGCAAGCAGTTGTTGGGGTTCGACTCCCCGCGTCCGCGTTATTTCTATTTATCAGCAACTTTTTGAATCAGAGATGCGCCTGAAAGGCGTGCATAGATTGAAGATAGGAACTGTGAGGGCAAGCATGTGGTGCACGGTGCACAACTGCGTTCTGTAGGATTCGTCGAAAGCAGTTGATGGGGTTTAACTCCCCGCGTCCGCCTACGACCTCCACCAACCATTTTTTTTGCTCGCAGTGCCTAAAGAAAGGCTTGGATGAGAGAGGAGTAGGGAGGGAAGGAGGAAGCGGACGTGGTGCACAGCGCACCGCTGCGCTCTGTAGTAGACCTGGTAGAATAGACATTGCAAGCAGTGAATCGGGGTTCGACTCCCCGCGTCCGCGTAACCTTTCTCTAACCAATTTTTCTTGAGGCCCCTTTTAATATTGCTCCAAGGGCGGAGATAAGAGGAGCGTAAAAATAGACGGGGGACGTGGACGCGATGCACGGTGCACTGCTGCGGTCTGTGCATATTATCCCACAACAAGTTGAAGCAGTTAGAGCCCTTCTACGCTGTCTGGCAACCCTTTTAATCTACAGAGCGACTGAAAATGGTGGTATAAGGAGGGGTAGGAAGGGACCAACCACGCGGACGTGGTGCACGGCGCACTACTACACCGAATATTGGAGTCCCCTTGTTAGTTGAAGCAGTATCACGGGGTTCGACGCCCCGCGTCCGCCTTTCTTCGTTCTCTATAATTTTTGCTCAAAGCACGCCTGAAAATGGGGGGATAAAGAGAAGAATAAGTGGAAAGTGGGAAGCGGACGTAGTGCACGGCGCACTGCTGCGGTCTGTGCGTATTTGTCCCATATATAACAAGTTGAAGCAGTCAGACGGGGTTCGACTCCCCGCGTCCGCCTACGACCTCCACCAACCAATTTTTTGCTCGCAGTGCCTAAAGAAAGGCTTGGATGAGAGAGGAGTAGGGAGGGAGGGAGGAAGTGGACGTGGTGCACGGCGCACCGCTGCATCCCGTGGGGGGTTACTACGACGATGAATTCATGAAGCAAGTGATCGGGGTTCGACTCCCCCCGTCCGCCTGGATCATTCTTCTCTCCACTACTTTTTTTCTGCAAGGCACCTCAACACACTGAATAAGAAGAGGGGAACGGTGAAAATACTTAGGAAGCGGACGTGGCGCGCGGTGTACCGCTGCATTTTGTGGCGGGAGCAACTCAGGAACTGCGAGCAGTGAGACGAGGTTCGACTCCCCGCGTCCACCTTGTTCTTCTTCATAACTCGATCCTGTAACATCGGGCCGGCATTTTTCTCTTTGTGAATCTAAGGGACACATCAATGGCTTATATACATTAAGAAATAAAGGGAGGGATGCGGACGTGGTGCACGGCGCACCGCTGCCTTCCGTCACTGTTTATGAAATACCTGGTGAATACTATAGAAAAAAAATGAGGTTGAAAGCAGTTGATGGGGTTCAACTCCCTGCATCCGCATGATCTCCTCCGCAAATCGTTTTAAGAAAGTACCTCAAAAGCCGGGAGAAGAAGAGCAGAAAAATGGATGTGGGTATCATTCTTGGATACATGTAGCTATGTATAGGGCAGTAGAAAGAGGCGCGACAGAAGGGGAGAATTCAGGTATCTTTGTATGTCAGGCAAAGAAGAGAAAGATAAAGGTACAGGCAGGGGGCACGTTAGAACATGCTTGGAGTACATAGTAAGGTTGCGACGGGGTGGGAGGTACTGTTGGCGACTGGGTAGCACCTAAGCCTTTTGGCCCACGGACAAAGCTCATCAGTATAGTTACACCGTTCATACAGGTTCAGAACGAGGGCATGCATCCTACGAATCAGTCAAACCCATTCAACCGAATTTAGATGGTGGTTTGAGGCCACGGTGAGTTTTCTCCGGCGGCATGGCAAAATAGCCAAATCCGGGGTGGTTGACCACTGACCCAAAGACGTTAGTCAAGATCAGATTTGTAGGCCCAGCAGATCTGAAGTCCAATAGGAGGTCCGCATGGATACTAGTTCCATGTATTCAAATGATGATTCTGAGCTTGTCGGGGTTGAATATTTACTTCCGGCGCGGAGAGTAATAGACAGGATTATTGGCAGTAACTAACCGAGCCCAGCGCAACTGTCAGAGGGCATTGAAAGCCAAAATAAGTTACAGGGGGCTTCACAGGACGGATCACAGGATGGATGTCGACTTGCTGGAACACCCACCTGCACCACTTGATCTACCCGCCTCCTACAGAAAATCCTAGAATCCGACCCCCCGAATTAGGGTGATTTGATGTATTGAAGGACACGTGGTGAGAGAGGAATAAGATGGATGAAATATTGGGATTTAATTCGGGAGACCCCGCCCCATCGGCCGAAGATCCGGGTTCGCACGTAGCCGAAATCCCCGACAGCTCGTTGGTACGATTACGTATACGATAACTTTTCTCATCCCTTTTGCATCCCGACCCTAGCCGTTATGCATTGGTCGTCGCAGGTGCGCACGCCGCAGGCCTCCCGGAGGGGTGGCGGATCGTGCTGCGAACTCGTGGGAAACACACCGCACGCGAAGTGAAATGAACTGGCACACACGAGATTGTGGAAAATACCAAATTTCGACTGCAATCCTCTGGGAACATCGTAGGTAAAATCCAATGACATTTGCAGCCCAGATGATTGGTGGGCGATATCCATACCCCGGAGGTCCACTACTACTAGCACGTAGTCTTCAAAAACCTCCTGCAATTGAACTTGGCCGGGCTTCGCGGGGAGCCAATATATCGCAGCGTGTTCATTGGTGGGCTTCAGCAGTATGCTTGATGTGCGGGGACTCAGAAGAGCCTGTCTCCTGCCTTCTTCGGCAGCGATTGTACCGTTGTATCATCAAGAACAGTAGCGAACGTCGTGCACGCTGCTGGGCGACGATCGGCTGGATTCCGAGTGGTTTGTTCACCTCTCGTATCTGACGCAACCTTACGGGTAGGTAATATGAGGACCCCCGACAATCACCTAAAATGCTTGTCCACCAAAAGTTGAAAGGCATCAAGGAGCTCAAGACGAAGCCCACGCGGAGAACAACGGAGTCCAACATAAAAACCATTCAGGAAGCCGTACTCAGCGAGTATGGTAAGACCCCCACTACTGCGGCCATCTGGCATTCTATACGCCATAAAGACCTGTCGAGACAGGTCAAGACCTTCCTCTGGAAAGCGATCCATGGTGCACACCGTACCGGGAAATACTGGAGCCACATTCCTGGATACGAAGAGCGGGCAATGTGCCAGCACTGCAACGAGACGGAGTCGCTCGAACACATCCTGCTCGACTGCTGCCAGCCCGGGCAAGCGGAAATATGGGAGCTTGTTCGAGAAATGTGGTCGAAGAAGTATGGCCAACTGCCGCCCCAATCTATGGGGAGCATCCTAGGGTGCTGCTTAGCATCCTTCGAGGCTGAGAAGAAGTCAAAACCATCCGGGGTTAATCGCCTATTCCGGATCGTGATCTCCGAGTCCGCATACCTCATCTGGAAACTCCGGTGTGAAAGTGTAATAGGAAGAGATGGCCAGCTACACTCCCAGAACGAAATTCACAATCGCTGGGTCCACATCCTGAACGACCACCTGGAAATGGATCGGTTCCTCGCATGCGATCAGTTCCCCGCGAACAAAAAACCAATGCTGCCGTCCCTCGTGCTCCGCACGTGGAGCCAAGTTCTCCAAGCAGAGAATACCTTGCCAAAAGATTGGCTGAGAGAACCCAAGGTTTTAGTGGGTATTGCACCAAAAAACCCTAGTGCCCCATGCCCCCCAGATCCTGGGGGTAAGGGGTACTGCGGGCAGTGAAATTCCGGTGCGCATTCGAGTCCCACACTACGGCAACTGCCGTGTGCGTAATTGCATTTCCTTGGGGGGTGGACCCTTTATATCCTACTGGAGGTCGAAACTCCTCCACACTTACACAACCTAGCAGGTTAACCCATTGTTAATCGTGCTACGGTTGACACTGTACTACCAAAAAAAAAAAAAAAAATGAAGGAGAGCGAAAAAATTAGGCACGCGAGTGTGGCGCCCGGCGCAACTGCGTTCAGTGTTGGGTGTAACTTACAAAATTGCGCACACTTGAACAGAGTTAGGCCCCACTTCCTCTGAACACTCGATCTTGTCTTTCTAGACTTGAGCAGTATGTGTGTTTCAGTGGCCGGCTGATCTATCTATACTTATCGTAAGAGTGGGAGCGAGGTTTTAGGTTCAGATTCATGAACCAGTTGGGATCCCATCCTCTGTTCCCATTTTTTTAGAAAGAAGAAAACACTAATTAGCTCGCAATGCGGTTGTCAAGTTTAGGGCGCCGGCCGCCCCACCTATTTTAGCTACGCCGCGGCTGTGTTCGATCAGATTCATCTGGTGAGATGACAGCTCATTCGATTGGCACCGCAAATGACAGTCACTTGTCTAGGCGCCTTCACAGCGGTGACACAGCTTTACAGCCTTTGACTCCTCCCCCCATGACCGAAGTACTAGGAAGCATCGCTAGTGCCATCCAGCTCGTCGATACGGCCCTGAAGGCTCGTGAATATGTGAAGAACTTCTCCAACGCACCCATCGAGCAGAAGCAGTTGTTTACGGAAATGGACGAGCTCAAGGCGCTACTTGGAGAGCTCCAGCAGCGGACCGGGGCAAGCCCGTCGACAAGCACCCTCCAGCATATGGTACCACCATTGGGCAGGTTCAAGAAGATGATGGAGAACTTGACAACGAAATTCAACCATCCACATAATCGATGGTCCAAACTGTCGGAGCAGCTGACATGGAGCCTTTGGAACAAGAAGGAGGCAAAAGAGTATTTGGAGGAGTTGGATTCAATGAAGTCTTTGCTCAATACCTGGCTGGCACTCGAAATTTGGTGCGTAATATAAGTATTCAACATTGAACTCCTTCTGAGTATATTCAGGGACGCGGGAGAGAAGCATGAACAAGGTGATGAATAAGCTCTTGTCCGTCCTTCTTGACTCTAAGTGTTCCATCTTCATAGCCATTC